CCTCAGAAACGGAATGCGATACATAGGAATTTGTAGAGCCACTATCAAACAATGCAAAGTATGGAACTGAATGAATAGTAACAGTACCTGCAGTCACATTAGGCCCATCACGATCTTGTCGAAGTCTGGCAGTATAAACCAATGCAGGCTGTCTGGCCTCAGATCTGACTGGACCCCTATTTTGAGATGCTCGGCCTCTATTAGCCGATCCAGGTGCTCTCTCCTGAGTACGACCACCTACAGGAGTCTGAACAGTACTCTGAGATCGAGCGGGAGTACGAGCTGGTGTCTGAACTGTAGAAACTGGCACTGGACAATCCCTTATAATATGGTCACCAGAACCACATCTAAAACAGGTGCCAAATTTTCTTCTGCATTCCCCAAGATGATGTTTCCCACAGTAATCACATGTCTGCAAAGGTTGCAACCCAGAAGATCCACCATGTCTAGTAGACTGAAAAGTTGAAGCACCAGATGCAACAGGTCTGACACTCGCACTGCCTCTCTGAAAGAAATCACCCCTGCCTCTCTTGCTAGGATGTGCAGAAGAATTAACAAAACCAGAAGGCCTCCTGAATCGATTCTGGGCTCGATCAGTATCTCTCTTGTGCTCCATACCCAATAGCTCTATTTCTTCAGCAGTCTTGGCTATCTCGACCAAGGCGTCAAAATTCCTCTCCCGATGGGTAGCAACTCGACTCCTGATCTCATACCTGAGTCCATTCTCAAACCTCAAGCATCGATCTGCCTCAGTGTTAACAAGTCCAAGGGCATAGCGACTCAATCGGATGAACTCAACCTCGTAGTCCATAACAGTCATATTACCCTGCTCCAGATTCTGAAACTCCTGGCGTCGTTCCTGTAGATATCTCTCTCCGACGTAACGACTCCGGAAACGTTCTTTGAAAAGATCCCATGTTAACTGGTTTCTTGGAATACTACCAGAAATGGATTGCCACCATCTGAAGCTTTCTTTCTTTAACATAGTTAGGGCCCCCTTCAACTTCTGCTCAGGTCTGAGGTCCATCTCATCCATAATCCTCTCTGTGTCCTCCAGCCAATACTCAGCGTCTGTCGGAGGTCCACCAGTAATACCCTCGAATGGAATTACACCAGCAGCGACCAAAGAATTTGAAATCTCCACTGCAGTCATGTTACTAGGGGCTCTAGCAGCTCTCTGAAACATGCGGAAGATAGCTCTATTAATGGCGTCTTCATTCATCTCAGAATCCTCATTTTCAGTGACAGGAGGGTCTCTCACAGGAGTAAACTGATCATCTTGAGAAAGAGTCGGATCTACTTGTGGAACAGGAGAATCAAGTGGTGACAATGGATCGTCTATCGTAACAGAAGGTCGAGCGACTCGCCCTCTACCACGTCCACGTCCTGTCCTACGACCTCTAGCAGCATTCATTATTGGATCTATAAGGCTCTACAGAAAGAATTCGAAACATATGTCAGATTAGCATCAGGGATCTCGAGAAAACTTTAAATTATAAAATATGGTGACACATTTTTTTTTTTCAAAATTTAGGACCCATATACAGTCCGAGTGTTTAAAACCGAAAGCTCTGATACCACCAAATGTAACCCCCTAGACCCGGCCTAAACGTTAGACCCAAACCTAAGCGGGCACATGTCCCATTCAGAGATTTCTTTATATTTAAAACACTTATATTACATTATTTATAATACAAAACAAGATATTAGTAATACAAATAAGTCCAAAACGATAGCAAATACATGTCACCAAACACAACTGAAAAACATATAGAGATATACGTTCGTACAAAATAAGTAGTTGATCTTCCCTGATGCCAAATCTGCTAGCTTACGGTCTTCTACTATCTGAAAAAGGTTAAAAACTACAGAATGAACTAAAAAGCTCAGTGTGCTCCATACAGTATATAATAAAAACATACGGATAAAATCTTTCAATGAAATCGGTTTATGCAACATGTTTTTAAAACATGAACACTACCCCCATCCGTTCACATCATAATTGTGTAGGTTCCCCAGAACCATACACCCAACCGCACATGCCATTTAGACCCTGAGCACAAAGCCGAGAAGTCTGCAGATAATCTTCCTTCAACAATACCCACCCAAATGACAATGAATGTATTCAAATGAAAACAATGATTAATCACTTAAAACATAACAAATATTTCATGCTTAAAAACCATATGCAGAAATACGAAAATCAGAATTCAAATCAATAATTCAGATATCAGATAAGCAGATCTCAGAAGTCGGTATGAAATACCTTAATTCAGAAATTATATCAGAATATACAGTAAATCAGATATCAAGTATTCGGTATTCAGATAAATCATTTAAATCAGTAATATAATACTGTTAGGAAACACACCTGTAACAGTCTGAGAAATCGGATAGGGAAGCCTACTACTGGATTTGTCGATCACGCTCTGCTGCAGCGCTAGATCCTACGAATTGGAAAAATCCTTATTGGAATTCTAATAAAAAATAATCTTAATCTTTACTTAAATAATATACGGAAACCTACGGGCAGTTCTTGTAATACGCGGTTCGGACTGATCTGACGAACGGACAACACCGGACCTGACTGATCCTTGCTCAGGTGAAACACGAGTACCTTCATAAAATATCTTACTTAATCAATTTCTTAACCATATATCAAAATACTAAAATACTAAGCCTTTTTAGGTTCACAAGCTCGATTCGGGAATTTCGGGTCAGAATTTGGCAAAACGGACTTCGGAATCAAACTCAGGACGTCGAAAAACATAAAGTATGACCTTCCGAAATTTCGAATTCTCGGTCAAAATCAAAGTCAACGGGTTTGACTGACGATTTGGAGACTTCTGGGTTCGAATTTGGTGAAACAGACCCCAAAAACGGATTCGGGACGTCGAAAACTGTCAGGATAGGTGTTTTCGGAAAAGATTAACGATCGTTTAATAGCCGGTCAAAGCCGGTCAAAGTTCTCGTCAAAGGAGGTCAACAATCTGTTGAACATTTTACACAAATAGCACCCTTTTTCGAATTATTTACCAGAATAGCACCAAAACTGAATTATTTACCAGAATAGCACCAAAACCGAATTATTTACCAAAATAGCACAGGTCAACGGTCAACGGTCAACGGTCAACGGTCGGGTCGGGTCAACGGGTCGGGTCAACGGGTCGGGTCGGGTCAACTATCGGGTCGGGTCGTGACCGGTCAAACCGGTCAAACCCTTAAGAAAACCGGTCAAACCGGTTTTTTTTCAAACATTCACTCGCCCACCGGCGGCGCGTGTAGGCGCGTGAGACGTCTTCCGGGACTCTAAAAATTCCGGAAAAATTTCTAAAAATTATTTTCAGTGGTTTCGAGATACTTACAAAGATCAGTTCAAATTTTTGAACGGCGGAGAGCTCGATTTCATCAAATCGGAAACTTTGACCGCTTCATCTCCCCACGCGCCGCCGTCGACGGAGATCGAGGATGACACTGGCGAACTCGGAACGGCACAAGGAACACGATGGTGCGGGAGGTGTCGTAAACGGAGCAACGATCGACGATGAATTTAGGATTTTCAAGGCGATTGAGCTAAAAAAAACGTCGATGCTTTGACTTGAAATTCACGACGTTTGGCAGCGTTTCGCTTCAATTAAATTGAGGGGATTGTTCCTGACTCGATAACGAACACGATGGTGCTTTCAAAACAACGATCGGAATTCAGACGGCGTCGGAATCGGGGTCGGAAGTTGAGGCAAGGAAATGGAAATTTGGGAGGAATTGGGTTCTGATTTTCAGAACCCAATTCACGCATAAATCATATATATAAACCAAATACCTAACTTTTTTGGGTAAATTCAGGGCTTGGTCCCTGAATTTCCTTTAACTCTAAAACAAGCTTCAAGTTTTAAAATCTTTCAATTTAGTCCCCAAATTTTCACCAATTACACAATTAAATCTTCAAATCCCAAATTAATATTATTTGAAATTTTCGGGTTGTTACAGCTTGTGCTTCTATTTGTGGTTTTATTTTCTTTTTCTCTTAAAACCTTTATTAAATTGTTTATGGGAAAAAGAAAAAAGAAAAAATTTAAGTTCTAAGAAAAGTAATTTGAGTATGAGAATTCCAAGGTTTAAAAATAAGACTAAAGAAAAAGTTGATGTTAATTATCACACAACTATTCATTGTGTTCTAAACTTGACATTTTCCGTTAAAAATTTAACGACAGTCTGAACTGGACATTAACCTGTTGACTGATATATGATAAAATACAATATTATAATCTAAAACGACTACCATATCTTTATCACATGTTAAAGGCCAGCTCAGACGATCATTAATTTTTTAATGAAAAAAAAATAGTTTGGAACATAATAAATAGTCAAGTGGTCATTTTGTAACTTTTAACAGTCAAGTGGCTCAACAAAATAATATCCTATAGTTGGGGATCATTTTGTAACTTTTCATAGTCGGGGACTCAACAAAATTGTATACTATAATCAAGGGATCATTTGTGTAATTTACCCTAAAAATAATTGGGGGTGAGAAAACCATATGATATTTTGTTCAAACCATCATAACTGTAATTTATAGTTAATACACATGAAAGGGTGAATTTATTGCTTGTAAAAAACTTAGTGTAGAACATGAATTAATAATAAAATCTGATTTAATAAATTTCATGATAATTGTTTGGACCAGAATCAATTTTTTTTAAAAAAAAATATAAGTACTAGAAGTGACCAAATTAAAATACAATTACTAAATCTACAACTTTTGCATAATACATGGACCAATAGAAGAATTTGGTCTAATAATAATAATTTATCAACATTCTCTCAGCTTATATGTGCTGCTCTTGATCATGCTATGCAAAGTTCACAATTGTGAATTATACACAAAGTATATATCTTCTTCTTGAACAAAGAAGATCCAAATTGCAGTAGGTGAATGAGTAATACCCAGACAGGCTGAGATTTTGATAATGGAAACACAGAAGCAAAAATGGAGTCTAACCTCAAAGCAAGAAATCAGAAACTAATTCATCAACTAAACAGGTTAATATGTTCTTCACGATTTCGACGCCCTCTTCGAGTGCTTCCATGTCAAAATCAAGCCATCTCCCATGCTTCATGCTCATGTCCTTGTCTGCAAGATCATCCACCATTGTGTCCCCCATGCTTTTCCAACCCAAAATCTCTTTGTTCACCTCCTCCGCCAGCCAATCCCGGTTTTGCATCTTTTTTCCCCCATGTAATGCATCCTTTGCAGCTTCCGACCAGAACCTGTCGAAACCTCGACTCCACACATTCACTCACACAATGGAGTAAAAGCTTTTGTTCGAGCTTGTAATCTTCTCCGTTTCTCTCTGCGCAGGTTAGATGCTCTAGCTTATTGAAGGCCTTCAGGGTCGTAACCTTTTCAGTCTGACCCAGTGCATATTCTATCAACAATAGCTCAGAATCTTTTAGCACCATTTTCACGAAATCGACTTCCCAATTGGTTGACTGTTTATAGTCTCTGGAATTTAATGCCATTGTTATAAGCTTTCGCTGTGTCTCCTGCAACTGTAGAGTGTATGTGTCGGTTAGAACAATGATGATGATATAAACAAAAATACAAGTATCATGCAAAATTCACACACATATAACCGTTGCATGCTTCTCAGACATATAGTTTAACTATACTCTAGACTTTGTCCGAAGATTTAATCAGAATAATGTTCCTAGCCGCTTCATAGCGTTTTCAACTCAAATACGAAACATAAGGAAAACGGTTCAAGTGGCAGAAATTCAGAACTACAAAGAGGAAAATAAGAATAAGAAGAGTGCAGCTTACCATTTCTGCTACCTGAGCAGCCTGCGCTTGTGATAACAGGCTCAAGAGTTGAAAGCAGGCCGGGATGCCGGTTATCTGCTTCTATGCCAGTTTCGGTGCTGATGGTGCTAGCATTTTGCTCTTCAGTTTCTTTAGATTGCTGGCATCATTCAAACAAATTTGAATATATCATTATTATGTAAGATCGAAAACTAAGAATACAATTTTATTTATAGAAACTAGAGGTATAACAGACAATAAAATGGTTCCAAATCATTCTAGCTTCTGAACAACTGTTGCATATATGAAGAAATGTTGATGTATCTTTATCTAGATCCACCTGAAGTCTTCTATGATGTGCCGTTGATGTTGTGGTTGCCATGTCAGATGAGGGCAAGGAGTTTTGCGAACTGGATGTAGGGCTTGCAGAAGCCCCCTCTATAATGATATTGCAGTTGGATGACTCAATTCTACATGTCAATTCCTGAAGCTTTTTTTCCAAAATGGTACTCGGAGCATCCCAACCGATTATATTGAATCCGGAAGAATGAAATGCCGAGCTTTTCAAAAATAGCATATCATTGTCACCAGAAGTATCAGTATAAAAGCAGCTGCTGCCCCTCTTTTCTGCAACTGGACTAGTGGAAGATATGTCAGGCATGGATCTCGATAAGGGGGACGTAAATGTAAACGAAACAACATCCATACTTTTTTTCTTTACATCTGCATCCTGGTTCAAGTGCCCATCAGTTGTAACATTACATTTTAAGGACCTTTCACTACAATTTGTAGATGAAATATCTGGAACAGTTTGCCCCGACAGAATATCCTCATTTACAGGGCATTTCTTTCTAGGCAAATTCTTTCTTCTAGACATATGGATCTCCATTGCAGTTTCAGTCGCCACTGAGACTGTCTTCCTGGAGTTTATGGTCCAATTAAGGCCGAATGCACCATTTACGGACCCTGTGTTTCTACCTTGGTGGTCTGATGTTGAAATCTTCGACGTTGAATTATCTTTATTAGATGAGCGATTCTGCTTCTGATTATTTTGCCTCAGCACACTGTTAGTCCTGTTTGCCGAGGTCTTTTCTCCACAGTCCTTTGTTTATCCGACTGGCTTGTAGAGAACTGTTTTCTTTTAGCATCATTCCTCTTCTTCTGGTTCACAAAACTCCCGCTTATGCTCGATGATGACCCTTCTTTCCTCTTAACATTAACCCTTGCTTGTTGTGCGGGTGAGACTGATTTTCCCTTATTCCTTAAACTGTTAGAACTGCTGTTTTCCGAGTCCTTAGTTATCCTGAATGTCGGTGTATAATCTGATTTACTGTGAATCTTGTCCTTATGCTGTACTTTCAAAGGCCTCACCATAGTCTCACTAGGCTCATCAGCTCTTTGAGGCCTCGATACTTTATGTGCAGCTTCAATTTTCTCCCTCAAATTCCGCATTTTAAAAGGAGCCGAAGAGGGTCCAAATGATGGCACTTTACCTTCGGAAGTTGCCTAAGAACTAGCCTTGATAATCTTTGCAGACGCCTCCATAATATAAGATGCATCCTTGGTCGGGATGAACGCTGGACTCCTGATAGTAGACAAAAGCTTATGGTGAGTGATTTGAAGACGACCTGTCAAGCTTGTTAGAGATGTTAGTGTAGTCTGTGGGTTGATGTTCGTTCCATAAACTAGGAGTACTTCTTTCGTAATGCGATACTCTAAGAGAGCAAGACCCTGAGTACGGGACAGAAGAAGACTCGGAGACATTTTGTGTCGGCAATGAGTCTAACCCCATAAGCCTAGCAACAACTCCAGGCACTCTAGATCCGTATCCTTCGTCGCTAGTCACCGAAGAAGAAGAATTAAAATCACCGCTTAACCTATTATTCGACGCGGCAGTGTACTCATCCCCCTCCATCTGGTATGCAAATAAACAATATACTCAGGAACTAACATATTACCAAAATAAACAAGTTGAGCTAAAGCTGGAAAGGAAGCAAATTTCCCACCATAAGAGGCGGCGGCTTCACTACATGTTCCTCGGGTTTTACTCTCTTTGATTCTTCTACAGTCAAAATGCAAACAAATAGTGCATTGATTACAAACATGTCCATATAATGAAGAAAAAAAGGAGACATTAAACCAAAAAGAAATACATGCATATTCATATAGATGAAGAACATGAATGTACCCGGTAACTCGGAATTGTTCGAGAAGAGCTTCTTCCTAGATTTACCATTCCAATCAAACAATTGAAGAAATCCTCCCTTGGAAAGTTTCCTTTCAACCTCCATTATCTTATCTACAAAATCAACATTAACTCAGATTTAAACTTCAACAAGCAACTTCAATCATTTATCAAACAAAACAAGCAGGGATTTAAACAGCGGTCCGCTATCAGAGAAACAGCCGTTATATAGAGGTAAAGGTGCTGCCCGAAACCATCATTTCACATGCAACCGATATCGAAACAGAAAACGCAATTTAAATCCCTGAAAACAAGACCCTAAAAGTCAATCTAAAACAAGTATTACCCTTTTGTTTTAAGGCTAAGAAAAAGGAACAAACTTTAAATTCAAAAACCATACCTAATTTTGCTCACATTGCTCATTCAGTTAACAGACAAAGAGAGACCATGGATCAGATTCAAGCAACCAATTGAAATGAGAGAAATCAAGCGTTTTCTGGCATAAAATACATAAACATGTGAATCAGATCTCCCTAAGCCAAATTCCAAAGGAAAAAAAAACATTAATCAATGGAAATGCAGATAGTCCTCCAAAAGTGGAAAATAAAGTCACCTTGAATTCTTCAAAAGTGGCTAAACCCCATGATCCATGTACCAAGCTCCTTCTTTGTCACAATGGGCTTGCATAAAAACAGATAAACCTAACTGGGTATTCATTAAATTGAACAAAAAGCTTCAACTTTCAAACCATTAACACTCATTATAACTGAACTTCAAGCACCATTTGTTTCGTTTCACTGCAACCAGTAATACCACTAATGCACGTAGAAGAAAAACAGAAATGGAGGAGGGTTTAACAGTGGAAGAAATGTCTGGTTTTGAGCATTAAATGTTGAAGCAGTGACATAACATTACACAACCCGACTCTGCCGTTGAAAATTTAAAGACCCAAGGCTTTGCCTTGTGAAATAGATCAATTTAAGAAAGGAAAAGAAAAAAATTTGTTGTCTTGGTCGTGTAACTTTCCTACTTTGTTACCAATGCCATGCCCACATGGGCAGTTCCACCACGGGCTTAGGACCTTCATTATTTGATTGGATTCCACTTGCACCACCGCTCCTGCTATTTTTTTTTTGCCTTATTATATAAATAAATTGAATTTGTACGAATAAAATTATATTTATATTTGTTTGTTTGTTTTTGAATGTGTTCATGTTCAACTTATATCTGTTTTGAACGTGTTAGTGTTTGGTTCATTTAGCATTCGCAAACATGTTTGTTTATATGTTCGTCAAAATTTCGATCAGCATTCATAGACATATTGGTAAAATTACAACATTAGCCCTTAAACTCTTTAAGTTTTATAGTTTAAACTTTAAAGTCCACAATATGTTCACTTTAATCTCTATCTTCTTCAATATTTAAAGTGTAAAAAAAAGTAAAAGAAGAATTGAGTAAACAAGCTTATCAATAAGTCAATAAATAAACTTATAAACGAGTATTCAAACGAGCTTGTTCATGAACATAAACGAGCTTGTTCATGAAGATAAACGAACTAGACTCGTCACTGTTCATGCTCATTGGTTTATTAAATGAACATAAAAAATTTATTTATACTCATTTATTTAACTTAATAAACGAACATAAACAAATACTATATGAACAATTTATCGAACACGATATTCATTTACATCCCTAGAATTAAGCAAAGGGGTTAGCCTATTAGGCACATAATCATGTAATAATATAGGGTTGTTAACATGTCAATTCCAATGTCAAACAATTATACATATATTATTTCTTTTAAATTAAAGAAAATGTTACATTTAATCCATATGAATGTGCCGCACAAGTCACAAAGTTCATTCACTAAAGGATCATTTTATTCATTTTTGTAACTTGTGCCTTCACTTTTATAGTATTATCATTAGTTAGTTCATATAGTTAAAAAACATTAACTAATTAAATTTTTATAAAATTTTAAATTTATTATCAACATAACATCGTTTTACTTTTGTATATTATATACACAAATAATTATATTTATTTGAAAATAAATTGATGTATTTATTTTTAAAATGTGTACAGTTGAATTAAAATCAAATTTTTATGTATGCCATTAAATTAAAATTAAAATTTTATGTGTATAATTACACAAATTTAAATTTATATATCACATAAAAAGATAAAAATACAACAAAAAATTGATTAATTTAAACCATGGAAGCCAAAGTAGCTACCGACCAACCTTTCATTCATTCCTCAACCTCTCTTTTCCGTAACAAAAGGAGCATGCATTGCTATCCTCTCCATCTTTTACCTCAAAATCTAAAATCTTGACAAAAAAAAAACACAAAAGGGAGGCCAAAGAGGGGGGCGGGACGCGTCGATTGATGGAGGAGTCTCGGCCCTCACCGTACCAAATATACGTTGGCGGCGATGGCGGTCGAAGTCTCGAAATCATAGATGGCAACGTGTTGAAATGCACAAACAAGCCACCTTCCTATGGTTCGACTTACCCTCCAACTCCTCCCTTCGATCGTAAATACGTCACTCCCAAGAAGAAGAAGTCGTCTTTATCGATCAAGTGGTGGAATGATCAAAATATGAAAAGAAAGATGAGGCTTACAGGGTACAAGATGTATAGCATCGAAGGGAAGATCAAGAAATCTCTTAAGAAAGCACATAAATGGATCAAGAAGAAGTATCATAGAATTGTGCATGGCCACTAAATATGATAGATATATATATAAATGCTTTTACAAATTTAATAATATCTGTATTATATATGTTTACATTATTTATTGATTAAAGTTTATCTGGTACCAATACCCTCCGTGAAGATTATTTCATATCCTACCTTTGGTATTGATACCTTATAGAAGTATTGATACTACAAATTAGGTCCAAGTGACTCGGTACAGATACTCATTCATTGGTATCGATATCAAATAAATGGTAACAATACCATATGAACATATATTGATACTCTATCCCTTGTAGTTCAACCTTTGTCACTGTATCTGTTGATAAATTGTAGCGGACCGGTAATACTTCCATGTTTTGGATGCCAACAAGTTTTATATGGCAACTCTAGGAATTATCTCTGAAAGGGAACATCTTCCTGTCCCATTTGAAGTCGAGAGTATAGATCCAAGTCCATTCCCTGATACAATTGTCGTCGTCGGAGATATCGAAAATCCATAGATAACCCTCTGGTCCACGCAAATCGAAGCATGTTAGCCGACCCTCCATCTCAAACAGCTTCATCTTCTGGTGCAAATTTCTTCCTAGGCACGGGTAACTTGGATGACACATTGTATGGAACTTTTCACTGTCTGTAGAACCTCAGAATGGACTTTTCGCATTCGGAGACATGGATTTTGGTGTCGGGTTTACATGTATCGGAAATCATCCAGTAAATCTTGTTATCGAGTATCACCGACGATTGATCTCGTACTGGATGAGGAAGATAGCTGAGGGTTCTCCTCCATTCGGTTGAGCCTAGGGTGAGTATGGTGTATTCAAAGGGGTTGTTTGTTCTATGTTCTATCCGATTACAATAGAGTAGCTTGTACTCTTGCATTGGGGAGTGATAAAAGAATCCACAAAATCCATCTCTGCCATCTAAATGCTTCAAAGTCATTAATTCTCCGGTGATCGGATTGCCGGCATAAAATTCATACGAGAGACTAGCACAAGATTTGAACAAAACCAACCCATTGCAGGAAGCCACCGGAAGAACAGACTGACCCTGCATTTGATGTTTCCATCGTTCAACTAAAGATCCATTGATAAAAGCTCTTTTAATCGAATGTGATCCCTTGGCATCATCGTAAAGAGGAACAAAGAAATCGAGTTTTTTGCTTTCTTCTCATGAGGCGGATCACGTTCTAGTAGGTAGAAGATAAAGGAAGCGGAAGGAGGTCCTTGTCGGAGATGCGTTTGAGCAAAGCAAGGGGAAGAGATTAGAGCATTCCATTGCTTGCATACTAGCCGACACCGTCACCAGGTGCTCGGCAGGGACCCGACTTAGTATTTTAACAACCAAACCATCAACAAGATAATCAAAACCTCTGAAATTACCATCACCATCACCATTACCATTACCATTACCAACCCTAGGGTCATTGTCTCATCACACTGCAATCATAATTTAACAATAGTTATGTAACGGTAAGTAACATTTGCAATCGCGACACGGCAATCACAATTTAGTATTGTGTGTGATATAGGTTATTACACTTTAGGACCTTCTTCCCCAAAGAAAAATATTCTACATGATTTCTGTTGCGTTGTTTTCCTAAAAAGATGAAACTTACCTGAGGAATCGATGACGATGCACCACAAAACAAGAGCCTTGAGGCGACGGTGAGAGAAAGTGAGCCATACAGGAATTTTAGGCTAGACATGGTGACTTGTGAGAGGAGGTTAAAGAGTTTTTAAAAATGGGTAAAGTACACAAATACTACCCTACTACAAGATATTGTTTTATTGAGTCTCATGACTATTAAAAGTTATAAAATAGTATACTGACTATAGATTGTTGCTTTTTAGAGTTCATCGACTATTAAGAATTACAAAATATTTATTTAAGTATTCATATGTTCCAAACTTGTCATTTTCTGTTAAAAAATTGACAGTCGTCTAAGTTGAACGTTAACAATGCTAACTGAGATACGATAAAATTTGATCTCAAAACCGTTTCAGCTGTATAATCGTTTGAGATTTTGTAATCAAATTTTATCATACTTCAGTTAACAAGTTAACATTCAGTTTAGATTGATGTCCATATTAGCTATGTAAGGTTTTCATATTAGTACAAAGTGAACGATTTTAATGGTTAGGAGATTGTTGTTATCTTTTGAGATCTTGAAGAGCACGAGCGATGGATGAACATGTAATCAAGGGTGGACGTGCACACCTTAAAATCCGAATTTTCTTCAGTTAATTACTTATTTTATTGATGGTGCTCACCCCATTTAAAAATTCTATGATATTAACATATGTGTACTCATTCTAAAAAATATTTTTAGATCCGCCACTGATTATCTTGTATACTGCTTCCTCAAATTCATCCAAAAACACCACTACATCAGACAACATCGATCATCCATCCTCACCATACAAAGCATGAATCAAAAGACAAAATCATAATGTCAATCTCAAATGCACAAATTCTAACGCAATACAAAAGCTTTGTATTAATAATTTGAACGAGGTAATATACGAAATTCTTCAATGTTTATGAAGAACATCATAATAGAATTCTTCCCTGTTCAAGTTCAGCATTTATTTGAAAATAGAAATATAAACCAGTCAAAGTAATGTGAATCTGAAATAAGGACTTAATCAATTACTAATAAAGTTGTCGGATGAAGGACTTAATCAAATCAGTATCAAATTGTGGAGGACTAAACCCGGATTTTTCCCATTCTATTTCTAAAAGAATGCGCATGGGTTGTAAATAGGGATGTAAATGAGACGAGACAGATCGTGAGCTACTCGAGATAGACTCGGTCAAAGTTTGATCAAC